GGTGGGGGGGGGGACGGGACGGGACGGGACGACGACACCCAAACCCCAACCTGGGAAACTAGGTGCTCTTGGGTAAAAAGGATTGTCACTGGGCTGAGAGTCCTACACAGGAACTCCCAATGATACCAAACTCCCTCCCTGCCACCTACCACTAATCAGGCTTTCTGCACTCTTGGCTTCCCACCCACTTCTTTTTCCCAACTGCTAGTTTCTTCTCCTTTAGTTACCAACCCTCAAATATCTCTCTACATCCCAGCTCAAAAAACTTAAATCCACACCGGTGACTTTTCCTCTCCCAGCCACCTCCATTTCTACCTACACCCTTCTCCTTTTCAACAACTAAGGCCCTTTCCCACCTCTCATGTAGCAAAGAGAAAATCAGGAGGTACCACTAGGTAGGAGCACTGTCTCACATCTGCCTGACCATGATTTCCTTTTTGGACTCAGAGTGCACAGGGAGCACTTGCAGATCTGGGGCTGCTACAAGCGTCTTTCTGCCTGTTGTTCTAAGAGCTTTGTCCTCACCCCAGGGAAATACAGAGCGATGAGAGTCCAGCTGGTAGCCTCAATGCCTTGTGGGTATTTCCACTTTGTCCAAACAGGAGCTTAAAGTTTGGAGAAGGTACTCAATGGTGTTCCTCATCTATCAAACAAGATTTGAGGTAGCACATCTCCTATATTTGCCCAGACAAACATAGGAGAGGTATTCATTGATCTATGAGGCGAGTTAGAAGTGGACTGGTAAAACAACCCCTGTTTCCATATAATTCTTCATATTGAAAAGCTGTACCTTCTGTTTGTAGGAGCTTTTAGATACTGACAAAACAGTACTGCTCAACACATCAGTCCACAGCCTCTACTTATAGAATGGTTTGGGTTGGGGGGGACCTTTAAAGATCATCTAGGCCAACCCCCCCACTGAGCTCTTAGTACTTCTGAAAATCTGGCCCTTGTATGCTATGTTTGGGAATGACCTCTCTCCAGTTTCATACGTGCTTGTAATACTGGTGTGTCTACATAAATTCCACAATGAAATTTACTATTGCCATGTAGCAATGATCTAGAGCCTTTGCACTGCAACAGAAAAATCATTTACAGTAGCACGAAGAAAAGAGCGGTGTGAAAAGTAGCAAATCCTGTTATCACGTAACTTACGATACGATGCACTATCACGTAACTCCAGTCTGCCTCTTCTTCACGATCCTGCAACTGCTATAGCAGAAAACACACACGCAATATAGTTACTTGGTAAGCCTGTTTTCCTTTATAAGAAATGAAGTTTATGTAAACATAGGGAATGTGCATACACAATACAGAGATTATGTTTTGAATGCATAGGCAAATATCAACCAAATTTTGACAAAAAGGCAGTGGTTAAATAATTACAAGATGTATTAATATAGGTAGCTGGATAGAAGAAAAATTAAAACTAACGCCAATAGCACAGGAGCATGATGTCTAGCCATCTAGAAATTAACCGTTATTACACACTGGAAAGTCTTTCCAGGAGCAAGACAGTCGTGAATCCTCCCCCATCTAAAAAGCTGCAACCCCTAGTGCAATTAGCTATATATCCATATGAAACAAGGCCTCACTAGTTCAGTGCCTCACAGAAGTATTCGGTTTTTAATGTGGCATGTCCACATATGTTAAGGAGCAAGAGATCCTCATGATTTTAACTAGCAGTAACTCAACAATGGAAAAGACAGATCATTGACTGGGCAGCTCTAGCCTGACACATGGTGGAAGCAGCAAGAAGTGTCTTTCCAGGCAGGAATGAAAAATGACACGCAAGTAAGGAGTTGTACATCTTTTTGCTCTTGCACACAGAACACATTTCATGTGTGAGGATCGCTTGCATATTGCCCTTACACTTGTCACCCTCACGGCCACTCTCTCCTAGACACCAGCAGCTTTGTGTGACTCTGCCCTCATCTTCTTCATTTCCTTTTAATGGGCTGGAAGACAAATAACACGGCAGTGCAACCTTTTAAAACAGATTAGGACAGATAGGATGGTATTGTTATACGGACACACATGACTGACTGGTTTTTGACTTATGGGAGGGGCATGCAAACATTTTTCTCTTCTTTTTTGCCAACTCCCACCCAGAGCGGTAAGTGCTACCACTGGTGGTGGCAGCAGCAGTTCCCGGACGTTGAAATACTTTGTGTACCTGTAGCAATCTGTGTATCACAACTTGGGAACTCATGACAAGACAATCAAAAGCTGGCTGAAGCTGGAGCGTATACTAACCAGATGGTCCACATGCCTTCCAGCTCCCTCCCATTCCCTCTTCAAAGAGCTTTTCAAGAGAAATGATGCTTAAGACGTTCTTGGAAATTTCGGGGCTGCATGTGGCGTTTCAGGTTTATCATTTTACATCTCCCAACAGAGAAAGGCTACCGTGGTATGGACTTACCTTCCTTAGTCAATTATAAAATGTCATTCATAAGAAAACAAACCCGTTGTCGTAGGAGGAAACTTGTAGAAACAATAAAAACAATTTGGTGATAACATACATTTGCTGTATAGATTCACCTACAACTTGTTTTTAAAAAGAAAACTGTGTTTTCTTTCCCCTTGCTGCTGCTGGTGGCATTTTTTCCCCATAGGCCCAGGAGGAGGAATCCCGTTAGAAGAGTGACATCCAGCGGTTGCTCTGCACTTCGTTTTTACACAGAAGTCTCATGGTTTGTGCTTCTGCAGCCTGGGCTTTTTCAGCCCTTCACCGAACTTACGAAAAAAGGCACATGGTTTAAGGTAACCAACGAACCATTTTTCTCTCATGGAAAAAATGATTACACATACATACAGATACATATATTTAAATAAGTATGCAGAATTGAGACATGAAGATGACCTTTTAAAAGATCTACTATCAAGACAGAGAAGCAAGTACACGTAAGGCATGCAAGAAAACCAATCTGAAAAAGGGAAAGGATCACCTGCCTGTAACTTGAACTCTCCGAGATCTATAGTCCACACTGATATTTACACTATCAGACAATGCAGACTTCATCTGTGCAGTAGCCATAGTGGATGTGTTCACTCCCCACCTTTCATTACGCTTCACGCACCTATGCAAAATCCACGTGGTTCTGAGGAAGATGGGAAGAAATGGCACATGAAGACCACATCTCTCAAGGGACTTCCATGACTGGTAAGTAACTTCTCCATCTTAAGTGTTGAATCACTTGCTTGTTCGAAGTACGCCAAACTGGAAACGGCAGCATTCACAGAATGGGTGAGGTTGGACGGACCTCTGGAGGTCATCTGGTCCAACCCCCCTGCTCGAGCAGTCCCCTCTGTCAGCCTAGAGCCTGGGGAAATGACTTTGTGCGACTGTGCTCTTTTTTTGGTTTTCCAGGGGACTAGCCTGTGGGACATTGACATACACTGGTACCAAATGTGCTGATGGGAGCAGGGCTTGGACACCCCAAATGAAGAGTTCTGTGGTTCCCCGAGTTTAACAGCAATTTGCTGCCTCTTACAGAAGTTACTTCTATGAGTTCAGCTCCCTCTTCTTACTGCTACGAGGTTGAAAGATGTAGACAGGGCGTTTTTCCATAATGCTATCTCATCAAGATAGCACAAGCAGGATAATAGTCCTTAGAGCGGATAAGATCCTTACAGAAGGCACTGAGCAAAATGTGACCTAAGAAGACGACACCTACACCACGTTCACAGCTGGAATATGAATTCAGGGTCCATTTGAACTACAAACACTTCAGCTGGCCAATTAAAATTAACATTTAAGTCAAACCTGGACTAAAGAGCACCCTTGAAAGAATTATGTCTATGCAATACGTCACCTTATGAAGAAAGAATAGAAAGAGCACTGGGCACGTTCTGTCTTGGAGCAGTCTCTAGTGCACAACAGAACAAAACATGAACCCACTTCCTATAAACAGTGTGAGAAAAGTTTTCAGTGTCTTAAGTATGAATGTTATGTGAGGATGGTCCCTTGGAGACTGAAACAGGGATCACAAAAAAGAGGAATCTACAGTTCTGACTGTCACAGTGTTAAAGATAGTAATTTATTATATGAACGATGGCATCCATTTATAGAAAAAGGTTAAAAACCTAGTGCCGTATAAATTTGACAACAAGGTAGTAAGTGACAGAATAAACAGAGAAGTAGGAAATCATAGTGGCAAGAGACAACTAGAACTAAAGGAAAGAAAAAGCCCTATCAGGGAAGATTAAATACCAGGTAGAGCATTCTGACAGATATCATGATGAGGAAGTAAGTTCCAGACGGAAGCAATGGAAGCCACATTAAGCTTACGGCTCCAATTAGATTGCAAGGCAGAGCGAAAATAAGCTAAGCGACCTTATAAACAAATGTGGATGTCACCTGAATGGTTATGGTATGAAATAAAGACGAATACTCTGGCAATTAATTGCATCTGAAGACCACATAGACCAGGTATGCCAATTAACACTAAAATAATATACCTAACCTACTATTTTTCCAGAGTAGTTTACATTGAAATACACTGTCTAAAAAAAAAAAAAGGAGATGTTTGAGAATACCTATCAGGATAGCTTTGCAATTAGTATTTAAAAGTATGAATTCAAGGGATCCTATGCAGTGCACAAAACAAAACACTGCAGTACTGTACTAAGTGGATCACTGTCCCACAGAAAGATGAAATACCAATATTCTTGTAACTCAAACTGGACAAAACATAAAATAGCAAGTCCAGCAATGCGTGTTAGTCACAAATATCTGCTTTAGCTATCAATTCAGATAGCTCTACAAACTTTAATTTAGATCTCTCTATAAACTTTTGGGAGAAAGTTTTAGATGCAGCTTTGCTTCGTAATTAAGTCTTTATATTCCTCACTAGAAGAAAACCCAGGTTTGGGTAACTAATGAAGCTCCATTCTCATCTCAGTGGTTGAAAGCAAAGACACAGTCAGTTTCCTACAACTCTTTGCTCATTAATTTCTGTTGAAATTGAATTGTAGGCAACGTACTTCATTTGCTTGAAACACTCGGACATAGGTATTTGTCAATATCGCCTCCTTATATTTTTATGAATCACTTCTGAAACATTTGTATTTCTGCTTTTCTAAAGTATTAGTCCACTTTCTTAGAAACTGACAGAAAACAAATATGAAGTAAATTACACACCTCAAACCCAACCAAATCCAGGGAAGAATGAAAGTCAAAGAGCTTTAATGTGAATTGCAGCTTTCCCCTCCTGTGTGTTGTAGAACTTCAAACAATAGACGAATAGGCTAAGTCATAAGAGAAAATTCTGTTTAAAACTTCTACATGCCATTATCAGCTAGAACGACTATTCACATTTTAAGAATTATCTTACTTTTTAAAAACAAGTACATGACATTAAAGAAAATGAAGGGGACAAGCTCAGAATACTGTGGCTGAGCATTTTACTTCTGGAGGCTAGGTCTGCACACCACAGAAAATCAAGTGTAGTGATTTTCAATTATTTTCATCTCATTGTTTTCAATCTGCATGTCTTAAGTTCAATTACATAGCAAGTATTAAATGCTAAAAAGAAACAAACTTTTAGAAATTTAATATACACTGGATTTATATTATGTTTTACTGGCTAAGATATTTAAGATTTGGAAAAATGAAAAGGGGAAAACTTCTAATGTATACTAAATCCTGCTGCCTCAGGAAAATCTCATGTCTGCATTTTTTTAAAATACAGAAACTAAACAATTAAGAACTTTCTTCTGCTGTTTAATGTTATAACAGGTCTTCAGGGGGTTTCTTTCTTTCGCTTTCTTGCAGTTACAAGTTCTGATTTCTGTTTCAACCATATCAGTCATATTGCATGCTGCTGCATTCAGAGCATCTGAACATCAGCTTCCATTCCACATGCACTGGAGAGCATGAATTATTCTGCACATTGCTAAACATATAAGCCAAGAAATGCTTGAATGAAACTTTCTTTTTTGTGTGTCTTAAACCACATTAAATCATTATGATGAAGTCCTTAAAAATTCTATTCTTTTGCCAGACAGGTTGCTGGAAGACATAATACTTTATAAACATCAACTTAGGGACTTTGATGGAGACACTTAAGTTACTGTATGGCTTTTCAATACCCAGATTTCCCTGATTTCCTTCAACTGTGGCATTTCTTGAAGAATGCTGTCTTCAAGAAGTAGAAACGCAATTAGAAGTCACTTCCCAACTATGTTGCAAAGCTACATTCCTGAAACCTGCGTCTTCTACTGCCAGCTTCCTTCTTCACAGCACTACGTCAAATATGCATATGGTACTTTAATCAGGAATTGAGGCTTTAACATTTGCAAAAAGAAAAGGACTCTCAGATACAGCTGCATCACCTTCAGACTGTGAAGAGTCTACTAAAAGCTTAGTCTTTATTTGTTTCAATTGCAACTGATTTGATCTTCAGCAGATGCAGAAAGAGACATTTCCTCAGTTCTAGGACGTTTTGATGCTGGGGGATTTTGAAGACTGTCATCAGACGGTAGTGGCCTCTCTGAAACAGACAGACAGGAAAATCATTTGAGCAAAGTAAATCCAGATTAAGAAAGTAAATTGGTTTGCTGAATTCACAAACAATGCAGCACTCATCAAAAAAACCCAACCCTGGTTTGAGAGCCTAGCATCTGAAACAATGAAGTGCTGAAAGTACAAGGGTCTTTAAAACTCACCTGGAGGACATTACATCCAAGTGAATTTACTCTTCTTGGTTTCAGTGTCAGCTAATGTGCCCATTACTATAAAAACTGTAGTGACATATCGTCACATAAACAGCTGCCCAAGAGCAACCGCAGTGAGAACACATTTCATATCGTCAAAAGCACCTTTCAAACACACCAAGACAATGAAGAAGCTTTAGAATCTGCAACTAGGTTTAGGTCTGTGCTTGATTGTGCTTGTGTTATAAGCTTATAGCTTATTACAGAAGTCTATCATGGAAAGAACTGATCGGCAAAAGACTTTGCTGGATATTAATAGCCACAAAAGCTTACCATGTTCCTGTTCTGAGGAAGGAGGTAAAGGAACTGTATCTGTATATGCAGAGGTTGGCATATCTGGCTTCAGTGGAATCAAGTTTACTCTCCTTTAAAAGAGGAGAAACAGTTCAATTGCTTTAAAGCCATCATTTCCACAAATACTTTATTTAAAAATTTACTTCAGATAGAATCAGTTAAATTTAAACGTAGTTTAGATATACTTTATTACACATTTTTTTCTTGTTATATATTGAAAAGAGCATTTTTTAGAAGTACTTTAAATACCACTAGTGATCTTTTCCACTAGAAAGTACTTTTGCATGTGTTATACGTGGCACAATGCTTGATACTCAGCTTCAGAGCACAGTGTCTTGGTCAAATATTTTAAAATTAAGACTGCCTGCAAAGGCAGGGATTTTAACCTGTTTCTTGGCACCTGGTAAGTCTTCCAGTTCCACTGGAAGAGCTTACTATTCCCTAGCCCTGTCCATGTTAACATTTTAGATTCATAAAACTCTAGGGAATTCTTTTGCACGCTGAGGTCCACTAACAATTACTGCAAATCTATTTTCTTCTGCTAAATCTCTTCTGGATGGCACTTAATTAAGCACAAAAGCAGCAGAGGATTGAACCATAAAAAAAAAAGTCTTACAAGTAGCACCATGCATGCTACTACAAGATGACACTCATGGCATAATCAGTTGATATGATTAAATACAGGTTCTCTCTCTCTCCAAAAGAAAAAGATTAATTAGCTCCATCAGTCACCTCACCCTCCAGGCAAAAGTCACTTTCAACAGCCTACAACCCTTCGACTTGTTAGTTCCGGTACAGATGAACAGTGGTGTGTAGAAAGCCATCATCTCCAAGATTTTGCTCTGCGGTTGTTGATGAAATCTACTATCCTGCTTTCTTGTTCATCACTTCCTCCCTAGCCACCTACTAATTAAAACATTCCTATGAGAAGTTGTAATAATTTCCTCTAACTATAAAATAGCCTTGTTTTGCTGACAAGGTCTAGATCTCTAATTGCATGGCTGTCTCCTTACTGTTGCACACCAGCTCAGGATCTTATATTGCAGGCTGTTTGACAATCAATACATGGCTTACAGGCAATTTCTAAAAACCTAGATCTTCACCTTAGGAAATAACCTCAATCAACGCATTAAGTCCCACACCCATGACCATGCAACACTGAGGGCCTGTCTAGACTTGCACTCTTTACTTCTTAAAATATTTCTTGTCAAAAAAGTCTTTAAATAGCTCGTCAGCTGAAGGCTTCAGGTACCATCTTTGTACAGAAGGTGAGACCTTAAGACAGACACCTGTTGCTGCCACATGGACAAGGCGTAACGGTCAGGTTAACTTTGCTACTGCCTCACATTTCAGACAGATATATAAAAGCTGTATATTTAGGATTCAGGAAACATTTTGACCTTTCAGCTGCAGTACAGGAACAAAAAGTTCCATGTCAAGACAGTTACAACCAAGACACAGGGCTGGGAATTTATGTCTAAACTCCAACCCTTTAAACGTAGCCCAAGCACAGCTTGGCTTGGCCTTCATCCTTATGACTGGAAATGGCAATATAAATCTCACCTTGGCGTCTTGCTCCATGCTTGTAAAGTGTTGAGAGTAATCCTCCTGGGCTGGTTTACTTTAGTGCTCTGGCTGGCTGGCTGGCTCATCTTCCTCTCATCTGAGGATGAGACTGGAACATTTTTTATGCCAACAGGTGTGGAAGGCAAGTCCTTACCGGCAGCTGTGGGTGTTCTAGGCTGGAGGGTGGGAGTGCTGGGATCAGTGGCCCTGCTGGGAGGAGTCCCCTCTGTCAGCCGAGAGCCTGGGGAAATGACTTTGTGCGACTGGCTCTTTTTCACTTTCTTCTCTGTTGCACCAGAAGTCCTGACATTTATCTGTGGCTTCTCCTTCAATGGTATTCCCAGTTCATCCTTCTCAAAGGTAACAAATGAACAGTATCCATCCGTGGAAGAAATAGCAAGAAAGGCTCCATCGCTGGACCTATTTGTGATTTGGTTTTTTCCATTAAGAGGAAAGGTCAGAACTTTTCTTCAACCCTCACCCCCCCATCTATAACACATGCTGTACCTGACTTTTCCTCATCCCTTCCCCAAGTACATGTATACATTTAAATAGAACTGCAGTCAAGTGAAAGATATCCAATCCAAATGAACAAAAGATCTTCAATTCTGGCCTTCGCATCTGATTTAATCTCTCTGGTGTGCAGAACTTCAACATGTAAAAGGGACATTTCCATCACAACAAATCTTAAGAATATAACAATTACCTACCATGAAATGTCACTCAGGGTGTGATAATGTATGTTAGAAACATAACCAAAGGGGAAGGACTGCTCAGTATCATAAAAAAGCACAGAATCTTCTGAAGCAACAGCAAACACCAATCGATAGGGAAGATTAAATAGAGTAGGAGCTGATTTCTGACTGATTTCATCTAGAATGCAAAGAAATGAACACATTGAGAATTCTCTTTTGTATTAATTGCAAGGTAGTAACTGCACTAGCTTAGTCATGAATCTAAACAAAGACTTCATTATTAATCAGTATCAAGGTAACGGCTGAGAAGACAGCGCTTCTATAAAATGTAAAGTTTAATGTCAAGCACTAACAATTCTGTTGCCTGAAGTTTGCCCTCTATTGTCTTAGCTTAAGACAGAGAAATTGGCCAGAATTTGTCCATCTGGATTGCTATTATTTTGTTTTGTAAAGTTTGTCATATATTTTCCAGCTGAAATTTTTCAGCATATTTATGTGCACTTGAGTATAAAAGTCCAAACAAAGACACCTTAGGATATAGTGTAAATCAAGGTCACGACAAATTTATACCACCACATTATATTCTGTATGACTCAGTCAAAACAATGGATATAGCTCTATTTGTGTTATCTTGGGTTCAGCTCCTAGCTAGTCTTATCATTGCAACATTAGTTCTTTGTAAGGGCAGATTATTCCAACTTCTACTGGAAGCTGAGTGCTAGCTAGCTGCTTTCAGAAATTCCTAGTATATAGAGCTCCCATTCAGCTCTACAACAGTTATGGAAGCTACGCACTGAAACAGACAGGCCGTTAACATTAACATAATGTAACATACTCACATCTATAGATTTCTAGACTGTCTTAGATTTTCACTTTTCTGGGTCTATGTTGCAGAAACCAAACACTCCGTTTAGAAGAGCTACAGAGACCAACAGCAGACACTCATCTCCCTACTTTGCAACACACCATTACGATGGATCTAAAGATGACGATGAAAATAACAGAACACAACAACAGGTAATCTCTAAATCCTGTAAGGAATACTACAGATTGACCCTCTAAAGAAAGGAGCAAAGCCCCGCCTTTTCACCAGAGTAAGACTGGTCTTGTTAAAATATAAACACTCCTGGATCCACTGGGCTCACAATAAGGCTGGATTTCAATCTCCAGGTAAGTTCTCATGCAACTTCATACAATCCTTTCCCCACCTCAGAACTCCTGTTCTGGCCAGTAACACCAGCACTGCTTCAGATTTGGCTTCCTTGAATAAACAGCAATGGTTGTTGCAAACTATACCAACTCTCTGGTGCTTCTGTGATGCAGGTAGTTGAGACTAACAGAAAATATTTCACTGGGTCACTCCTTTAGTGCTAAGCCAAGTTATTTACTTCTACTCACACAAAACGGTTAAAAGTTAAAAAAAATATTAAACAGTGTTTCTGTAGCCTAAGAGGCCAAGTAAGAACATTTATCCACTATATCAAAAGCTACTCACAAGGTGGATTCAGGGTCTTAGAATCAGGAAAGAGCTTCTAAGATGTGGTACAACACTGTCTTAACGGAATGTTAAAAGGCTAGGGCATAAAATAGTAAACAGCCACATTGGCCTTTTCACATATTTGCTGTAAAATCATACTCCCTGAAGGATTTACAGTACCTTTATTAAATGCTTGTCTCAACTCAAAGTAGACTGGGCAGCAGCGAACAGCAAGAGTTGCCTTTCCAGGACATGGCAGGTGACCCACAGGCCTTTTATAAAGAATCAGTATTTCAGAAAACAGCTTTTTTTTTTTTTTAATAAAAAGATATTTTGACCTTATTAAACTCTACCTTTTAAGGTTGTTTCTGGAGAAAATATACGTGGTGTTTGTTACATTTTCTCCTGATTCAACACAGCCAGCTGCAAAAATAAAGGTTAAGACATTACTCATCAACTCAACGGTACTGAGTACACACTTTATGTCCATAAACATTCTACTTCAGGAATTAGGCTTGTCAGTTGGGCAAGAGCTGTGCAACCTGAACACAACTTAAAAAGGCATCCCAAATATTTATTTAGTGCTGGTTTTGTTTCCCTTATATACTTCCCCCTCAAAGCTTCTTTTTGATGTTGCCAGACATCTACAAAAGCAGTGCTTATATGGGCAAACTGATCCCCTCCTTGCAATGTTGTTTTTACTATGACTGCAGAATGTTCATAAGAAAGGATACAAACAAAGAGAAACCACCAGTCAAAAGAAACCACTCATTATTCTTCATTTCTATTTTAACAGAGCTGTATTGTTGCAATTTACATGTTTCAGTTCAGAAAAATGCCATAAATATAATTTTTATCACAGGAGAAAGTTGATAGTCTGGACTACTAATGGAAGAGTAATATGGAGTCTCTATTTTCTTCAATAGGAAGAATGAGGAATGGCATAATTAAGATACATAAGCATCCCCTAGCAGTTTGAAAGCAGTCTTGAGGCACATTCAAACTAGAGCATAACAGATACAATGTAAGTTATAGTACACATTCTCACATACCTGGCGTGAGTAAATAGGAGCCATCAGGAGTAAAACTGAGCCTGCGGAAAAATGACTTCATGCTGTCATCATGAAACATCCGATAGCTCCTAGCCTGGAACATTGAAAATATGATTGTGCAAAGTGCCATGAACGTGTCAGCTGGAATTCAAGTGAGAAAAACCATCCAGTTGTACAATCCAACCTGATGGAACTTTTAAAATAAAAGATGTTTTAAAAACCACAGCGCCTTCAAACTCACTTTCTGCTGTGCTATAAATTCTTCACAGCCAAGAAAAATAGTCCTTGATCCCTCTTCAGCTACTAATCAAAAGACTCCAAGAGCAGTCACATTAGACCAGTAATCAAAAAATAGTAATAACCTGGAGAACAACATTATTTAACAGTCAACGTAAAAGCTTGTCCTTAGGCATTTAATTTTAACTCTAGCAGTAGAGGTTTAAAGAGAACTTCTATAATGGCAAAACACCCTCTCTCAGGCCTGTTCTTTAGTCTCTATAAAACTGTTACAAATGTTTTCACAAAAAAAGAAAAGGAATAGAAGGAATTAAAAAGGTTATAGCCAGCTTGGAGGTGTTATTTTACTATCACTTAGAACTGTTTTGGGGAAAAAAGCTCTTTGTTTTCCCTCTTAGGGTTAGAGAGAATTTCCTAAATTTTCACTAATTCATATTTTTCCTAAAAATCAGACTACCTTTTTGAAAATTTCAGGCTGCTGACTTTAAAATATTATTAATAGATAATACATAGCAATAAACTTACAGCTACTGACAGACATGTTTGAAGTTTTTCCCTATTAAGAATTCACTATGCACAATATTTTTTCCACACTGTTTTTAACATTTACAACCAAAGACATTGTGTTACTACTTTAATCAGCTGAACTTGCAAGTGTTCGTTCTTAGTCATTTCTGTAATGTTCGAGGAAACCTGAAGCGGTCTCTGTTTACAAAATGCAAATGTGAGAGAGAGACAAAAATATCTGATATAGGGATTACTTGAATGGAAGATATTTGCCCCTTTGGTTTCATAGACTAGAACAACTCATATAAAATAGCACCCAGCACATTCTCCAGTACCATTAGTAGCAGAACAATGTACCTCTCCTTCAGCTCCTGATCCGGACGGCATCTTGGTAGCATTGAATGCTACACGCTTGGTTTGCGTGTTGTATACCCGCAGGACCCTACATGGTGGAGAGCACAGTTAGCTATGAACAGCTTCCTTTCACCCCAAGTTTCACACAGCACTACGGCACCTCACTTCTCAGTCAGGACTGCCAAATATAAGTGACAATCACACATTAACTATAACTCTGTTCAGGAGACACCACCGGGTGGACATGTTTTGATGGCTAAATAACCAGTGGATCACTGACAATTATTTGACTCAATAAGGTTTGCGAAGTGCCAGCATATGCATTCGTGGGGGAATGAGGGAATTAGTGGACAGTGACCGGCCACGCCATTCCTACCTGTGCTGTAGTAGCCATTTTGTTCCTGCAGAGTGGGAACTCACCTCAAAGACAATTAGCTACATCTCTATGCTTCAGTTTCCTTTGGAATAAATGAAAACTGGAGTACGTCTCTGTACAGAACGTTGGAACTCCCCTGACTTCATCTCACTAAAACAGCCGGTAGCCTAAGCAAAGCCAACTGCTCATCCCACCACCCCCTCCCTTCTGCCAGCTCTGACCTTCACCAAGTTACCTTGGCTTGTTAGGTTGGCAGAAAACCAACGTAACACAAAAAATAGACAGCTTTCTGCTGATTTAATGTGCTGAAACAGCTCCACAAAGAGTCCTGGACCGAGCTAGGAAGAGAAAATGGAAGGCAAGGCTGTAGCAGACAGTTTGAGACAGTTGTGGAACTACTGGCTCTGGATGTCATACAGCTAAGCTGGTCTGCCAAAAGGAGGAAGAGGTCTCCCCACCCTGGGCTGGTGACTGCCCAGGCCTGGCAACTGGCCTGGCTCCTGTTAGACTCTCGCTGAGCCAATGCTGTTCACTAACTTTGCAGAAAAGCGACTGAGACCTGAGGGGGTGGGAGATTTCCCCTCTTCAGATTAGTTCATGCCCTCACTTGCGACTTCACTCCAAGAAAAACTTGTGCATCATTCTACTACCTGTGTTTCACTGCTGTTCATTTTAATAAAGGCACACAAATCTCACATAACTGATTATCAGAAGGCAGAGGCTCATAATGACCTAGTCACCATTAACTTACCGTTTTTCTGAGCCTACTGCAAATCTTAAATCAAAACTACTTTTCCACTATTACAGCAATTTTCTTTGCAGCGGGTGCCAGATGACATGCATTTATTAGCCAGCTGCAAACCCTTCAGAGCAGCATACATGCCCTAAACAGTTTAAGCTCAGCTCAAAGTTCTGACAAGGGCCAAGTTTATGAAGTGTGTGTTTTGCTTTCCTAATGACATCACTTACAAAGCTGTTGGCGATGGGAGGGAACGAGAGGGCAAAAGAAAGATATCAGTGGAAAAACATTTTAACTGATTTCTTAACCTGCTTATATCTTTCTGTAAAACGACAAGGATGAACTTATTAGCTCATCAACCAGAGAATGCAGCACTCTCTTAAGATGTATTTGGTATCTCTAATGATTAATACCATGAAAACTTATTTCCTGAAGAAAAATTTCTACACAAGTTTGTGTAAGCTTATTTGCTGCTTAGAGTGGACACTCAGACTTCAGAAATCATTTACCACAAGCAAGAGATTAGCTAAAGTATCATTTTAATTTCACATCAACCTTCCTACAGAACAACCTGAATAAAATTAAAAGAAAAGTCACATTTATCCCATATACTTGCTTTTAATTCATCCTCAAGTAAGAAAGAGCACTAAGACAAAACACTTAGACCAACAGCTCACCTATCACAACTCAGAGTTGCGATGTACTGGCCTAGAGGATCCCAGGTTACTCCTTGGACATAACTCTTGTGTTCATTTAATATTGAAACCTTCTGTCCTGAAATTACAAACAGTTTCCAGATTCTAAATGCAAATGTGTTTTAAAACATTTCTTCATTTCAGAAACAAAACAAGACAAAATGTTTCAAAATCATTTTTTAAACACACAAACTGTTAACTTGATGGTACCTGATAAGAATATCTGAAATAGTTGCTTTATTTCTAGAATCTTCACAAGTACAGTAAATTATGACATGCCAATTTAAGGCTTGTTCCCTACAAACTAACTCAGATAAGCAGCTTGGCTTAGGCATTAAACATGCAAGATGAGTATATTTCAAAACCTTTGTGATTTAGAAAAATTTTTTCAGGCAAGTCTAGCTGTTCAACAGCTAACTGAATTTGGCTGTACACCGAGCCAGAAATTCCAGCGTTAAAACATAACTTTCAGCTGGGGTTAGATAGCCAGGCCCTCCTATCCAGGGCTGTATAAACTCACCTACCCTGCTGAGCAGGCAGTGAAAAAAATATACTACATACATGCTGACTGACGCTTACACATGGGCAGCTTTCAGAAACAATTCTACAGCAGTGCTAACTCAAGTTCTTCCACAGCTTACTGTGTCATGAAGATCTCTCAAACACATCAGTTCCTGATGTGCAGAAAACAGCCAGTGTTCCAGAACACTGTTCCAGAACACTGCACTGATGTTCCACAGTTGCATATCTCAGATCCAAACCATTGTGATGAGGTAAAGTTACAGATAAACTCATTAAATACTTTGTTTTGAATACTAGGGACAGAGGTTTTTCTTATATTAGTATAGTGTTGCTTTGTTGCAAAGAAATACTATAAGCTGACAAGTTTCAAAGACAATAGCTCTTCAAAAAGATTACACAAACAGGGTTGAGGCCATGCTGCATAATACCAAAAGTCCTTCTGTTGCAGTATTCTGTCCCAGCTAGTGGCCAACAACAGATACCAGAGTATAAGAACAGAGCAAACACATAATGGTATTTCTAACAGGATACCCTATAAGTTGCCAACAATTTGTACCTCAAGGACTTCTTAAGCCAGTGATGTTCTCTTTGTCCTAAACAGCCCCATGGAGTTTTACTATTCATTTTCTTCCAGCCATTTTTTAAAAAAAACATGCAATCTTTTAACCTTGGTATTACTGGAAACTATCCTTGAAACCCTTTCCTTCAACATACCTACAACTTCAATCACAAAGCCTACGTTTTCCAGTAATGGCTTCTTACTTCCAACTTACTAGTTGTCTCTCTGCCTAGAAGACACAAAATGCCCTCCATGGTATTAATTGCATGCTAAAAGAAACCAGTGAGAATGGAAGACATTACATATAAGTAATGTATCAGCTTAAGAGGCCATCCAGCTTTTTTTAGTAATAAGTCTAATAGATATGTCCCTTTGAAGTTGTTACAAGCAGTCTGAGATGCAAGAGACATTTGGTCACACTGCCCCTACACATACTTAGGCTCTGAGCACACACTCTTAATTGAACATTCATGTATTTATGGTAAAGACTTCTGGAAAGGAGTATATGTGACAGTTCGGATGTGAGGCACATTAAGCACCCAAACCAAGAACACAAAAATGTCAGCAGCAGAACATTCATATTTTCATGCGTGCGTGCACTGAAAAATTAAACTGGATTCTACTTTATTTTTCCTAATTAGACACTAAGTCTTAGAAATGTGAGATAAAAGGTTAACTTGAGAGAAAGTTAAGTATTTCCAACATTAAATTAAAAGCAAAAGTAACGATTACACTGCTAATAAGAAAACATTAAGCCTTTGTAAAGCAACCTAACCTAGATGGTTACTACCACAACTTCTACAGATGGGCCTTTCTTGGAGAATACAAGCAATGCCACTGCAGTGGGATGAGCATGAACAGAAGTGTTTTGCTGAATGGAGCCTAAAAAAAATGTCATATCTTGCGAAACAGAGCCTGCATCCTATACTCGCTTCCCATTTTTTACCTAGGTAGTTAGTTACCTGATACCAATCAAGTTTTGTTTGTTTGTTGGGGTGTGGGGTGGAGTAAGTAATATACAAGCTGCTTGAGCAGGAGTCTGGGCAGGGGGGGGGAACATTGGGTGAAGTTTACTTCCTGAATACTCCAAGGTTAAGAGATTACTTACGTGTAAATTTTGCTGGCCTGAGGGTATCTTCATATGCTAGGCTATCTGCCTCACAATCCCAGAAGTCTACCAATTAAGTGGGCTGTTCTCTCACAAAAAAAGATGCTTTCAACTCTTTTGATAAATACCATGAGACGCTTCCATCAGGACTGAAGCAGCAAGTGATAAACGTAGCTTTTACCTTTATTGACATCCCACATTATAGCTGTGTTATCTACAGAAGCAGATGCCATGTAATTTCCATCTGAGGTCCAACAAATATCATACACATCTTCTAAGTGGCCCCTAGAAGCCAGAAGAGAAGAAACCAATTCTTAATTTCAAAATTAACAGCTACATGTAAAAATGAGTTTTGTACATTTTTAGGTTAAAAAAAAATCAGAGGCAAATAAAGTATCATTGAAGTGAAATGAACAATACGACCTTCAGGTTTAAAAAAAACCTTCCATACTCAGAAGGCAGTAGAACATTTTAAAATAGCATATCCTACTTCTACTCAAAATAAGCCTCCCTTTTCAACAGTTTTTTCATAGACAATGAAAACACTGCATTTGAAGCAATTCATGAATTTGTACCTAGAGTTCTGCAAATGAAAGTTTCTAGGATTTGTACAAACAGAAAATAAAACACTACACCAAAGTAATTAGGAAGTGTCACTATTCAAGAAAACTTTCCTGCATATTAATGGATTTTATAGAAGCAGCAAACAAACATGCATACTCAGCAGAACCACATGAAATAGAAAGTTAAGGTTGATTTAGATACAGTTGAACAAACATTGCAAGATATTCCGAACCACCTAGAAGGGCTCCATCAAAAACAATTTGTATTGCTTGTAGTTTGAAGACTTATCATACAGCGTGGTAACTTCAATAATAAACATTTGCAACACCAAGTTTAGGAAAGGGGGATTGGGTTGGTTTGTTTGCTTGCTTGCTTTAACAGATTAACTCTAATGTTCCTAAAGGATCATGCCGGTGCTCCATGCAATCCCACTAGCACGTTTGAAACTGTTCTCACATAAACCTCAGCAGTTGCAAGGAATGTATCAGTTATGGATAGCAGAGTTTTTTATTTTTTGTAAACAAGTGTAAATTCTTAATGATTTTATCAGTATAGACAGATAGAGACCAAAACTTTTAACAGATACTACACAGAAAGCAAGGCAGAGTTATACATGTTGCTCATCCAAAATGCATTTCAGAGTCCAGAACTACTAATTTCTTTCAGTCTTCATCTGAGAGTGAGAACAGAAGACTGTTGTAGTCCAACTGCCAGCAGTGGTTTGACGCCTTAGCCACTATCAGCTAATGCTTACTTAGTCTTACCAGGTACAGTGTATATATTTTATTAACCATTGTACACCCGAAACAAATGCTGTAGATTTTCAACTATTAAAATGAACTAGTTAAAGAAGATCCGTCAAGCCTCACAGCTATCACCTGGCAAAATTGCATGAATCATTTAATATACTGATGCTTTTTGCTCTAACAATGATCAAAATTTTCACTATAAAGCTAGTAAATTAAGCTTCACATTTACTTTATATATCTCTGTGCTAAGCTTTAAGTGACTGCAAATCTCAGGAACCAATTTCAGAGCATGTCAGTTATGTCACATAAACGCCAAATCTTCTGCCTTAACAGAAGATGTAGGTTGGCACTGTATCAAAAAAAAATGTTAAAAGACAATAAAAGGATGAATATTAGAGCAAGCGAGTTTTAGACAACATTGAAGTTCAACACATACCGAACAGAAGACTGTATCAGATGATAAAAGCCACTGGGGAATCAAAAACACTGAACAGAAAACACACTCATAAAATATTAAGCTACCTTAAAGTTTTAACAACTGTCCAGTTCTCCTTGTTGAGCTGAGCTTCATCTTCATCCTGAAAAACTAATGGTTCCGATTCTTTGCTATCATTCAACTTCCACAATAAAATAACAGCATCTGTAGAAGAAATCATATGAAGCTTCTTTCTTTCCCACTCACTGTTTTGTTAATGCATTACATTTAGTTCAACATTACAATTATCTCACATAAGACACATGAAAAGCAGTTCTTATTTTGAGGTGGGCAAGAGTAGGTGCAAGACTGCTTTAGCTTCCAGTGTGAGCTGATTTTAATCAATGTATTTTTTTATTATTATTTAATTATCTAATAAAAAAAGATTAAGATATCCAGGTGTAAGATGAGAGTTAAATGGTTAGCTTTCAATCTGCTTTTGATTAGAACTGGCTATGGTTCTGCACTTTGGGCTTTTGAAAAATCTTCCATTAAGACAGATAACACTTGGCTCTGTCTCAGAGAGCACGTGCCTATCTAATACCGTCCTTACTGTGACTGAAGAACCCACGTCGCCCTGGACAGACGAGCCTTAATTTACAAATTCTGCCACAGCTTCCCAGTATGACACTAGGTAATCCATTCAACCTCTCCATCTGGGAAACGGGGATAGTAATTACTTTATATCTGGAAAACAGAGCCTCTCAGACACACAGCCAGTGAGAAGTTACTTAGGAACTGCATGACCCGCATTTACTAATTATAATCAGAATGTGAATCTAAAGCTGGAAGTGTTAGAGGGGTAGAACAAGTTCCTGTATTTGGTTTGTTTTTTTCTTTTCCCCCTTCACTCACCAGATGCATAAGCACAGCTTCTTTATATTGGTTTCATTACGCATTATTACTCACCATCTCCTCCAGATGCTAGGATCTCACCGCTTGGAGAGAAGCGCACAACATTTACTGCTTTGGTATGGCGGGCGAGGTTGGACAAGAATTCCACAATTGCTTTTCCATCTGGTCCTTTTTCCACTTTCCATATCTAGTTACAACAGCATTACAGAGAGTTTTTTCAGGAACAAGATGTAATATATATGCACCAGGTCAGTAATCCACAGTTTACTCCTTGGGCAGTCATTCTGAACTTATTATCTGAAACTTTCAGAGCTAAAGCTGCAGTGGCACCACAAATTTTCCCTCTACAAGATACAGCTGTGTACTGGGTTTATGTGGCAAGGTTCTGGTAGCTGGGGCAGGGAGAAGTCCTCAGGGGTGGTTTCTGTGAGAAGATACCAAGAGCTGCCCCCATGTTGGACAGAGCCAGTTCCAGTCGGCTCCAAGACTGTCCCACTGCTGGCGCCTCTGTGATATTGTATTTAAGAAAGGGTAAAAACCACTGCACGCAGCTGCTGTGAGAGAAGAGTAAGAAAAATGTGAGAAACAGCCCTGCAGACACTAAGGTCAGTGAAGGAGGGGAGGAGGTGCTCCAGGTGCTGGAACAGAGATTCCCCTGCAGCCCCTGGAGAAGATCACGGTGACACAGGTTGTCCCCCTGCAGCCCATGGAGGTCCACGGTAGAGCAGATATCCACACTGCAGCCTGTGGAGGACCCCACACTGAAGCAGGTGGATGTGCCCTGAAGGAAGCTGAAGCCCGTGGAGGGCCCGCACTGGAACAGGCTCCTGGCAGGAGCTGTGGCCTGTGAAGAGGACGGCACACAGGAGGAGATTTGCTGGTAGGAACTGTGACCCCGTGGGGGACCCATGCTGGAGCACTCCACTCCTGAAGGACTGTATGCCACGGAAAGGACCCACGGTGGAGCAGTTCACGAAGAACTGCAGCCTGTGGGAAGGACCCATGTTGGAGAACTTTGTGAAAGACTGTGTCCTGTGGTAGGGACTCCACGCTGCAGCAGGGAAGACTGTGAGAAGGAAGGAGCAGCAGAGACAACAAGCGATGAACTTGTTCACCATTCCCCATCCCCCTGCGCCACTTGGGGGGAGGAGGTGGAGAATTCAGGAGTGAAGTTGAGCCTGGGAGGAAGGGAGAAGGGGGGAAGGTGTTTTTAGTTTTATTCTAACTTCTCACTATCCTACTCTGTTATTATTTGGCAATAAATTAAAATAATTTCCCTAAGTTGAGTCTGTTTTGCCCATGACAGTAATTAGTCCTTGTCCCTGACCTTATCTCGACCTATGAGCTTTTCCATTGTATTTTCTCCCTGTCCTGTTGAGGAGGGGGAGTGATAGAGTGGCTTGGTGGCACCGGGGTGAGGAGGGGGAGTGATAGAGTGGCTGGGTGGGCACGGGGTGGCCAGTCAAGGTCAACCCACCACAAGCTGCAATTGTATTGCAGTATTTTTTTAGTCTGATGAAATATATTATTGAGTATTTCCAATAAATTAAAAAAAAGCCAAAACCCAAACACATGACATCATTCTGTCTTCATTCATCAACAACCTCTAGCTTCAAGGGGACCTGATAAATGCAATGATTCAATGTATGGAATTACAGTATCTTGTTAACAAATCCATCAACCACAAATAGTAACAGTCTGAAAACAAACCAGATTACTACAGGAGAAAAAAAACATATTAGCTCTCTTTAGAAGTCTGAGCAAGTTGAAGATTTTTGCAGCACACCCTGAAGGTCAATGGATTTACCAGTCTCAAACAGATGATTTGAGCAAGAATTGTAATAATTCCAGTTCCCCACCGATCATAACCACAGCATTAAGACAGTTGCATGACATGGACACTCTTCCAGCAATGCTGGCTTAAGGAATTCCTGATCATAGAATCATAGAATCATAGAATCATTAAGGTTGGAAGAGACCTCTGAGATCATCGAGTCCAACCATCAACCCAACAACACCATGCCCACTAAACCATGTCCCTAAGCACCTCATCTACACGTCTTTTAAATACTTCCAGGGATGGGGACTCAACCACTTCCCTGGGCAGCCTGTTCCAATGTTTAACCACTCTTTCAGTAAAGACATTTTTCCTCACATCCAATCTAAACCTCCCCTGG